TTTCGGTGAATATAAAATGAACACCAACGGACACAGAATAAGATTGTCCTTCTAGCCGTGGTAACTGTGATCACTCAAAGAATAACGGCACAGATACATTGAAACATAAACGGACACTTCATTTGGCAAATATGTGCGACTGTAAAAGAAACAAGAAAACAACAACAGAAGTACAAGCAAGTCAGATACAAAGCCTATGCCGAAATAACACGGAACTTCACCTTTTGTACATCAGGATTACGTGATCTTATTATAGTACACGCACACGTACTTTCCCAGGTTCTCCTCGTTGATCCGCACCCTTTCTTGCGCGTTAATAAGACCCTGAGCTTCGAGAATGCCCTCCTAACCTTAACACTGAACAGTTGCCGGCTGAGGAGGTGAAGCGCTGCCTGAGCCAAAATCGGCCAATCAACCAATTGTGACCGCCAAAAGAGACACGGTGCGACGTTTTGAAGCACAACACAACATGCAGAGCTTGCATCAAGTCAGTTTTTCTCACGAGTTTGAAAACACGCTCGTACATGGCGAAGTCGTGGAGGATTTCGGACTTCACGTTCTGGTTTAATGTGCGATGATGCGCACATTAATCCAAAACGTCGTGATGGCATCCGCGTATCCCATACATTCGGACAAGTTTCGATAGACACTGTCGTTCCACTTTTTCGCCAAGGCTCTGCGGTACGACTGGAAGGTCAAAGTGACCTTTTCCAGTTAAAACTGAATTTTAGAAAATGAATTAGACATACTTTTATCGGTTTTTATCGGTTTAAATCGAAAAGGCCGAACCTAAAACCTGACCTTTTTCGCTTAAAACCGAATTTACAAAAATGGATTTGGCGTACTTTTAACGGTTTTTATCGGTTTAAACCGAAAACTACGAACCCTAGTTATACCTTACCAGTAGTTAATACGTTGACAATAATTTAACCGTCTTCGTGCATTCACAGTCGATGTACGCCCCCAACCAAAGCATGGTTTTGCGTTATCACGAAACTGCAGAGTGAAAAAAAAAAAAAACTGATGCCCGACGAATTCGCGAGCAGGAAGTGATAGATGATTACCATAGTTCGTTTCAGCATAAGCCCCGACGCAGCCGACGGTACGACGTAATTGGACCAACCAAGCCACGTCAAAAGCTTAAGCATAGCCTCCTCTATACGGAGAAAGCCTGGCACATCGACGACGGAGCCACAGAGCGCGCGGCCGCAGGAAAAAGGAGAGGAGGAGCGCGCCGAACGGTGACCAATATGGTAGCGCGGAGCAGAAAGGGCAGACCTAGACAGCGAGCGCTTGGGTCGTGAGCGGCCGCTCCCCGAACCACGCTTGTTTTTGTGTTTTCGTCACCGTCGTTTTTGTACTCCGGGAGAAACGGGCGCGGCGATTCGAAAGGGCGCAGGGAGAAACGGGAAAGGGTGGACGTTGAGTTTCTCCTCTCCACGATAGCGACAAGAAAAGAAAAAAAAAAGATTGTTTCTGCGTTTGGCCGCTCGCTCTTTTGTGGCGCTAGCAGGCAAGGATCTCTCCGCTCCCGTTTCTCCGCCCCTCCTTTCCCATTTACGGCGGCCGTCTTTCCACGCGACGCGCCAGGCTTTCTCCGTATACACCGACACGCGGGTTTGACGTCACGGCGCTGCGGCGGCGCTGCGATCGCGCCGGAGTCGGGGGGTGTGGGCAAAAGAGCTCACGTTTCGCATGGGCGTCATGGCATTTCAGCATGCCGCAAAGCTGTGCTGCCGTTAATTGCACCCAAATGTGCAAGAAAAGTCGCGGAATGAGTTTCCAGAAGTTCCCGGCAGACTCTGAAAGGCATAGAAGGTGGATAATATCCGTGGATCGAAAATTATGGTCTCCTCGCGCGAACGACCGTTTGTGCGGCAAGCACTTTCTTGGAGGCAAGTGCGGCTTCTATTTCAATCTCCGTCCCGAGGCTTGCTTATGTGCAGGGAAACCGTCGTCTGATCGAGACCACCCGGATTTTGTTGCCACAGTGTTTGCGCACAAAGCACCGACCAAGCGCCCGTCGGAGGCTCGCTACGCCCGTGCTACTAAGCAGAAGGGGATCGGCGGCAGAACGGCAATGTTGTAGGCGTTACCGAAAAAAAAGTAACGAAATACGTTACTCGTTACTTGCAAATTAAAGGTACGCGTTACTGAGCTAAGTTGCCTAAAAATAAAAGGAACGCGTTACCGCTACCGATAAAAAGTAACGCACGTTACTTCTGCGTTACTTTTTAAATTATGATTTAACACGTTTTACGGTTTTGACGATAAAGGTGTGCATAAGCTCATATATCAAGAAACATTATGTTCATGCAGAAACTGAACATAATTACTTTACCTCTTTTTACGGTTTCAGCTAAATAGTCATGAGAAAAAACGGAAAGAAAAACAGAGCTTGACGCCCCAAAACACGGAAAAGTGTAATTGTAGTAACGAGGTAACGAAACTACGCTACTTGAAATAGTAACGTAAGTACGTTACCTGTTACTCCGTCGAACAAGGAGCGAGTAGTTTACTACGTTACTGAAAAGTAACGCGTTCCTGGTAACACCGTTACTTGTAACGTATTACCGCCAAGACTGCAGAACGGACAAAGCGTTACCGCTTGTCATGCCTTGTGGTCATGAGAGTAAGAAGAATAGCATACTTTTACTTGAAGACGCGGTGTGTACTTATTTCATTAATAAAGCACTTCCGCAGACCCAGAGTCTGCTGATCCCGCCGGCAGTGCGGAAACCGAATCGAAGTAATCGTAGGCCTTGAGAGACTTGTACGCCTGCTTCGTGTCGGCCGTGAACTGGCTGGGCAAAAAAACTAAGTAAACGACGACGTGAGCCGTCGACTTCGGTGACAGCAAGTTCACGTCGGAAGCCCGGCAGGCCTTTTTTACGGCGTACGGATCCTCGTATGCAACGCCGTCCACGCACAGTTTATTTGAATTCCGCCGCCGTTCAGGCTCGGGTAGCGAGCTCAAACAGTCGGGCATAGCATACGACACACGTTGCAAGAAAATAAGACTCACAAATAAAGCTAGAAGCGTCCATACAACGTCAACAACGAGCGCACGCCACACAACGCAATGGCGAAAACACGGACAGCCGGGTCGCTTTTGCCCACATAGCTACCGCGCATGCGCGGCCTTCCGGCCGTGTTGGTAAACAGAGCCGCTCCGCGTGTCGGTCTATAGAGGAGGCTATGGCTTAAGTCACCGGGACTTTTCTGTTCATGATTGGTTCAGTGATGATAGGAGACGAAGAGAAACAGGACGAACACCATGACGGTGCTGTTTTGATGCTATCCGATTAGTCTCATCAGCTCTTAGCGTCAGCTGCGTCGAAGTATACTACTCGTTATTATTTTATTAAATAGCGACTACGACAACTTACAAAAAAAATATCCCGCTGGACAGCGCATATTTTTTTTTTTCACATTTCGGCGAGCGTTAACCTACAAACAAAGTTTGCAGGCTGAGAAGTTTCCAGCCTGTGTTGTCTGGTCATGATCCAGGTTCTTATGTTGAATTAAACAATCTCAACACTTTAAAATAAAAACCAGATTGCAATTTCGATTTGTGCTTTGATCAAAGTAGTTCTTTGTGAACTTGTAAGGCGCAATGAGAATGTAAGGGAAAAGGTGCGCCTCACCCAAGTGGCAACAAATGACGTCACAGAAGCCGGAGTGTCATGCTGTTGCATGTCGTGATCCTGGCGGTTGGTCGTAGAAATGCTGGCGAAAACCACAGGCGAACGCGAGTGTCGCTGTCGTCACAGCGTTCCAGGCGTCCCAACTTTCGGCTGCTTTAGCTTCCGTGGACTGCCACGCTGGAGAGCGACCTGCAGCAGAACAGGCGTCATCCACATTCACAACAGCTATTGGGACGCCGCCAAGTTCGCGACCGGCGACAACATGACACTTCTATGACGTCATCAGGCGGAAATTGAGGGACCACTTTTTTGGACCCGGTAAACAGACCAGTCGGAGACGCGTTCCAGGGACCGTAGCATTACCGAGAACACTGCTCCAAACTACAACTGCATTCCGTAACGGCGCCGACAAAATGTAAACGGGCGAAGAAAAGTTTCCTTGATGAAATCTTCGGGCGCGAAATAGACATCAGCTCGCTGTCTTAACAAATACGACTGCGGTTCTTTTTTTTTTTTTTTTTTTCTAGATAGGTAAAATTTTGCGTTGAATGGTGCCAGCTACACAAGAACAGTCTACAGCAATTGGTTGTCATACAGCAGTCATTTTAGTGTTAATATCCCGTGGGTAACAATATAATAATTTTGTTTTGCTGTTGTTGTTGTTGTTGTTTTGTGCTCTGCGATTTTTAATCTTAAATACCTGTAAAAATCACTTTACAAATACGTCTTTAGATATTCTGACTGTGTTGCTTACGTAATCCGTCTAGGTAGCTCAAAATACCAAACTGTCTTGTATTTATATCTGTATTTACTTACTTATGTATTAACACTAAAAGCCTTATATTCACTTTTTTTTTTTAGCAATTAAGATGCATAACTTGAGCTCAAACGAGATAAATCACGCCTACATAGTTCACGCAACAGAAACATGTAAAAGAAAAAATATAGCCAGGTAAAATAGTTGGTGTAAAATATATAAACGACTAAATTTTTGCGAGGACCTAATTTTCGCGAATTTCGCGAATCGCCTACAATTCGCGAAAAATACGCCCCACAAACAATTCTGGCGATATGTGAACGCTACGGAAACTACACTCGATTCGCAAAAATTAGAACCCGCGAATAATTTCAATACTTCAGCTTGGGTGAGTTGAATAATCTTGCCAATGCTTCACAGCGCACCAAAGACAACACACCATCAAGACAGATCGAATCGATGTTTTGATGGTGTGTTGTCTTTTGTGCACTGTGAAGTATTAGAATAATTTCAAATTTTCAGCTTTGGCCCGATTCGCGAAAATTTTAGCCCGCGAAAATTAAGTCGTTTACAATAGAGGGCACGGCGGGACCGCAATGGCAACAACGCTAAGCCCGTCTATCTTCTTTGTTCAGGTCACGCTGTGTGTTCTGACTCACCACGTGCCGACCCCACCCAAGAATGAAGTCAGCATCTTGAACCCGCCGGCAGTGAGCATCAACTGCGCACACCCCGGAGCGCACCATGAAACGTCACCAACACATCACGGTTTGAAGACGGCGCCGCCAGTGGAGGCATATAAAGAGGATCGCGCCATGGAATTCCTCGGAGGGCACGGCGGGACCGCAATGGCAACAACGCTAAGCCCGTCTATCTTCTTTGTTCAGGTTTGTGACAAACATGCTTCTTGCTTTCGAAGCAATTATAGATGTATTGTTGTCCTGCCGTGCCCGGCCACAATTGAGTGTCTTATTGTGGATGCATGGAGTGTCATTTTGATCCTTCTATCTGGAGATGTCGAGCAAAACCCTGGGCCTCAAGGGATAGAGGAACTGAAGGTGATGATGAACGCCATGCTTACTTCGCAGAACGACCTTAAAACGCGAATTGTTAACCTGGCGGCTTCCCAGGAAAAGCTAGAATCAACAGTGAACGCTAGGATGAACGAAGTTATGACAGCTTTACAGGAGCACAAGGGAGAGATTCGTGTACTGCAGGGGGAAGTCACATCCTTTAGAAATGACCTCCAGCTCCAACAAAAGCGCCTCGACGACTTAGAAAATAGGAGTAGACGCCGCAACCTTGTCATTTTCGGGTTTCCTGAGCCCGACCGTGAAAACACCGAAGCATTAAGAAGCCAAATAATCCAGGACTTAATAGGACAGAAGCTTGGAGTAACTGTTAGCTCGGTGGAAAGAGTCCACAGGATAGGAAAAAAACAACCAGACAAACCGCGGCCTGTGATAATAAACTTCTTTGACTATAACGAAAAACTGAAAGTACTAAAAAATTGTAATAAATTAAAAGGAACTACAATCTCAATCAACCACGACTTTTGTAAGGGTACACTTGCCAAAAGAAGCAAACTTTGGTCCAAATCTGGGGACTTCAAAGCCAGAGGACGTAAGGTAGTGCTGGACTATGATAAACTACGGGTTGATGACGACCTATATGAATGGGACGAGCAGAATGACTGCCTGAAGTGCATCCGCTCTCAGGAGCGACGGAATGACGTCGACTGACTTGAATCGAAACAGTTACGTTTTGTACTACTAAATGCCAGAGGTATCGTCAATAAAGTCCACCAGCTCGAAGAAATTATACTTACATATAATCCGCAGATAATTGCAATCACGGAAACATGGTTATCAGCAGATATACTTGATGCCGAAGTTACTCCCCCCACTCACAAAATAATCAGACGTGATCGTGGCTCTCGAGGAGGGGGAGTTGCCTTGATAGTAAAAAAGGAAATCTCATGCGTCATCTTAAGCGAAATAACCGACAATGAAAGTGTATGGTGACAAATCGACTATTATGGGTTTTCGACTCTCGTAGGTGTTGTCTATAGGCCCCCATCTTCTCCCGAGCCATTTCTAGAGAACATTCAACTTCACATGGAACAAATATACAAACCCATTCAAAAAATCATACTGGCGGGTGATTTTAATCTACCGTCAATTAACTGGTCGACTTTCCAGCCTGGCTCAACTGAAGAAAAAAGCTGCCACTTGCTACTCGAATTAATGCTCAATTTTAATCTAAGTCAGCTTGTTACTGAAGGTACTCGTATCTCCCAAAATAGCAATAACACACTGGACCTAATTTTGGTTGGAAACTTTCCAGAGGACACTGAGGTTAACGTTTACGACGGAATTTCTGACCACAAGCTTGTTTTCCTTACGACTAATTTTTGCCCAGTAAAAAGAGTCACGATGGTAAACTTGTCTTTAACTTCGCTGCTGCAGATGACAAAGCTATTATTGATACTCTTGATTTGAACTTCAGTGACTTTGAGACGGAGGGTGACATTACAACATTATGGAATGCCTTTAAACATATTACTGGAAAGTGCCTTCATAAATATGTACCAAAAATAGTAAAAAAGAAACATCAGAACCCCTGGATAACAAGAGAGATAATACATCTTAAAAGGACATTATCTAGGAAACGGAGAGGAAATCGTAAAAATGCTGATGTCATATCTTCCCTCACAGAGACGTTGAAACAAAAAATAAAGACGGCGCGTGATCATTTTTTTGGAACAACGTTAGTAAACTTTATGAAAGAAGCGCCTCAAAAGTTTTGGGGGTACCTGTCGGGCAACAAGAAATCTATTGAACAGCTTCATGTGGATGGAAATGCTGTTACTGACTCCTACCAAATTGCGAACGAGTTTAACAGCACCTTTCATGGTGTTTTTAGTTCAAGATGCACTTCTGAAGAAACTATTGACTCAGTACCTCTTTTCCCAATAATGCGAGATATAGACTTGAACATCCACGGTATACGTCATCTACTTTTAAACCTAGATGTAAAAAAATCATGTGGTCCTGATGGCATCCCAAATGCTTTTTTGAAACGTTACGCAGAGATGATTTCACAATATTTATATGTCATTTTCAAAACCTCTTTGGATCAGGGATGTCTTCCACCTGACTGGCTTTGTGGAAAAGTTGTACCCGTACATAAGGATGGGAGCAAACTGCTTGCTGAAAATTACAGACCGATATCATTAATTAGCACCTGCTGTAAATTGCTAGAACATGTCATCGCCAGTCACATAAGTTTTTTTCTAGATAGCCATAACATATTAACCAACTTTCAGCACGGGTTCAGAAAAAGATTGTCTACTACTACTCAACTGCTCTCAGTAGTACACGATTTCGGCCATGCGATTAATAACAGAGAACAAATTGATGCAATATTTTTAGACCTATCCAAGGCCTTTGACAGGGTACCGCATCACCTACTACTAATAAAATTGCAACAGGTTGGCATTGCTCCTCGCCTTGTGACATGGATCGCTGCTTACTTAAAAAATAGGGTACAATTTGTTGAAATCAACGGATGTCAATCAGTACATCTTGACGTGCTATCTGGCGTCCCACAGGGGTTGGTCTTTGGACCTCTCTTATTTTTAGTTTATGTCAACGACATAGCCGACAACATTGATACAAGTGTGACCGTGAAAATGTCTGCTGACGACTGCGTTGTTTATAGAACTGTCAGAAACACGTGCGATCAAGTATCGCTTAACGAAAACTTTTGCAAAATTGCCGAATGGTGTGAGAGGTGGCGAATGGTTATTAATTACTCTAAAACGTGCGCTCTCACAGTAACGCACAAGAAATACCCTCTTAGCTTTGCATACCACGTTAAAGACAAATGCATAAAAACTGTAAACGAGGTAAAGTATCTGGGCCTACATCTTAATTCAAAATTAAATTGGGAAACCCATATAGATAGTACAACCGCAAAGGCTTACAAAAAGTTGTGTTACTTAAGACGGAAGCTGGGACCATGTGACTCGTCGGTAAAGCTTTCGGCATATAAAAGTTTGATTCGGCCAGTGCTAGAATATGCGTCCATTGTGTGGGACCCGTACTTAATAAAAGATATTGGAAAAGTCGAGAGAATCCAGCGCCTCAGTGCACGATTTATTTCTTCCGATTTTAGGCGCCTATCATCAGTGTCGGACATGATACGTAATTGCGGACTCGAATCGCTCGAGTCTAGGCGGAAGATTGCTAGGCTGGGTTTTTTTTATAAAGTCTACAATAATGAGTCCGGCCTGGACAAAACCTTATACCTTTTGCCACCTCCCCAGCGCTCTGCAAGATTGAATCACGCAAAAAACGTGAGACCATATGCTCCTAAAAATAACACGTTTAAATACTCCTTCTTTGTACGTACGATTAACGACTGGAATTCACTGCCCTCCGATTGTGTGCATGCCCCAAATATTGACTGTTTTGACTGTTGTGTTCGAAACCTTATGTAACCGATTGTGTGCATGACCCAAATGTTGACTGTTCTGACTGCTCTGTTTGAAACCGTATGTAACCCTTTCCTGCTTGGATGGTGAAAAACCATCTGCAGTATTTTCTAAATAAAAAAAAATAAAAAATATCATATATGTAAAATAAGACCACCGCAAAAAAAAAAAAAACACATCAGAGGTGTAAATAAGATCGAAAATTTCCGGACGCAGGTGGCCCGGGTACTGTTCCAGTGCCGGACCACACCCCATGAGATCACTGGCTGTGCCCCCTGCGAGCTTCTGCTGGGCCGGATAGTCAAGACCCCCTTGGACGTCTTGCATTCAGACCTCCGGTCCGGACCTTCAGGAGCGCGCGCTCCCGAAGCAGCTGAAGCAGAAGCTGGCTGCTGACCGAGGGTGCCGTCCCGGGCCTTTGCCGGAGCCGGGAGCGTCGGTCTACGCCAGGAACTTCCGTCCTGGCCCACCCTGGTCTGCCGGACATGTGGTTTCACCAGCGAGTGCCTCATCGCTGCTCGTCCGCATGCCCGACGGGACCACCTGGCACCGGCACTCCGACCATGTCAGGCCTCGCTCCGGGACCTGGCTTGCACCCTCGGCCGTCGCTTCAGAGGACCAGCCCGCAGGGGGACCATCGACAGCACCAGTTGCGGCCAGTAGAGCGCCAACCAGCACGGAGGCGACAAGCGTCTCCACTCCTGTGGCGCCAGTTGGACCGGTGCCACTCACAAATCCGGTCCCTGCGGCTCCACCGGATAGAGCGCGACCGGTACAGGCAGCGCCGGGCCCGTCGACACCAGTGACCAGGCGGAGTACACGGCAGCAAAGGCCACCTGACCGTTACGCGCCGGGGCGTCGTCGACCGGCTTCGTCGTCGACCGGCTTGGACTTGGCACGGCCAGACGCCGAGTCGGTGTCAGCCATGTGCATGGTTATTCATTTATTTTGTTTTCTTTAGAAGAACAAACCGGGGGGGGGGGGGGGGGGGGGGGGGGAGGGATGTCACCAGTATCTAGCGCCCCCTCCAGTCCACCCACCGACGGCCGCCAGGCTCGGCGGGCAACATTGGTCACCGCGCCAATAAACACCGTGGAGCGCACGCCGCCCCGGTCAGTCATCGTCCACCCTCACAACCAGGCTGCGTGTCGCCTCTTCTTGGCGGGTGCTTCGGCCCCCCTTCGTCCACGTTCTAGAAGGATCGTGACCCGCGAAAATCAAGTCGTTTACAGTATACAGTACAGTAAAGTATACATTATAATTTGAGCCCGCGAAAATTAAGTCGTTTACAGTATACAGTAGCCCGCGAAAATTAAGTCGTTTACAGTGTACGTATATGTAAAATAAGTAGGGGTCTGCGAATAGTGGTTCGAATCGAATAACGCGGCGCCATCCCTAGCTCCTGCACTGTTGAAGGAACCGGCCGTCTTGGGTTTCCCTTGCATCGTCAAAGCCATGGATGACGCAGCGCTATTCGATTCGAACCACTATTCGCACAACACTAAAAATGAGACTAACGGAAAAGAAATACACATCAGAGGTGTAAATAAGATCGAAAATATGCACTTTTAATTTGTAAATGTAGCTTGATATAAGCACCAGAAGAACAAGCCTCAACGTTCACCCGAGAATCGTTCGCGATAAGGAAACGCTCTTTCCTCTGTTCCACCTTTGACACGTGATGCAGCATTTCCCCCAAGAGTGGGGCGGCCAGATTCGAACAGTGAAAGGATAGGAGGACGGAAAGATACGTAAGAGATAAGGTTAAGACAGCGGTAAACCCGTTCTTTCATATCCTTCAAGGTTGATACACCACGTGGCGGTAAAACCTGGAACTGGGCCGCCGTGTCCCGGAAAGCTGGCCATGATAGGATTTCACTTTTTTTTATCAGACCTGAATTTCCCAGTAACACGGGTGACACCGTGCATGCGTAAATGTCGTATAGACACTGCTTAGCGAAAAATACCGTCTGGAGAGCATGTCAACCATGGTTATAGCCCTGCATATCCGCGGATCATCCGCAGGTATCAGCAGTTAACTGGCGGATGCGAATAAAAATTAAACGGACTTTGGCGGACTGCGGATCGGAGGCGGATGTCAGGGGCTGCGGATGCGGATATCCGCGGATCCGGATCTAAATTTTTGACCGGTGGCATTCAGTCCGTCGACTGACGTTTCTTCTACAGATTGTTTCGTCGACATGCGACGTTTGATCGAAAGGCTTCCCGTGTTTGCTTCGTCGAAAAACCTGAGACGTTA